ATATTATTTTCATTATATTTCATTAAGCCAACTAGTTGGATAAGCATCCATCATATTTTAATAACATTACTAGTATATTTCGGTGTGGGAAAATGAAAAGTTATCTGATGGGACGTTCTGTGTCTAGTCAGTAATCTGTCATATTTGATTCAATGACATAAAAATGGCGGGAAAATCCTAAAATTGGCTATGCAATAGGTTCTTAATTTACTTTTTGACTGTCTGAAATGCATTTCGATGACGTTTTCCTTCTCTTCTGTTTTTCTCTAGTTTTAGGGTGTTGGTTCAGTTTCTTTAAAAAGGGTCAAGTGAGAAAAACCTCAAGTGGAAACACATTTTCCAAACGGTACAACAAACACAACCTAAAACAGAACCAAAACCCCATATATTCTCATTTCTTCCCTCTTCCACTCCTCAAATCGTTCCATTCCAAAAAAATAGAAACACATGAATTCCAAATATTTCACTACAGTCGGAGGAAAGAGAAGGAAGCATATCCATTTGGAGATGCCCCAAGCCTTCATCCCGGAGTTGGCTTGATTTAAAGTGATGTTATACGTGGCAACCCAATCATCGGAAGATCTCTTCCGTATGGCATCTGTGTGCCCATTATTCCGGACGTTGGCAAACACTCCACAAGTGTGGAACACCATTTCAATGGCTAAGTACCCAGACCATCCTAGCTGGTACCATGCTAATCCTGCGGTCCAGCTTTTCTTGCAATAATGCAGAGCTTGCGAGAACCCTGAGTCGATATTTAGAGACGCGTTCGAAGTGTTTTTCATGCAGGGTAACGTGGAAGCGTTGTATGGGATCCGCATTGCAGCCACGACAGGCCATATGGAAGCGGCATATATAGTTGGACTTCTTGGCATGTCTGGAATTGGTCAATCAAAAGAGGATGCATTAGAATTTTTGTGGTCTTTGAATCAACGTAACAACATTGATATGAAAGGAACCAGGGATGCTTTGAGACGAAGATTAAGCCGAGTTTTTTCTGTTGCAAGACATATCGTAGATATGTTTTACTATGGGAAGATTAAGTTCAATCACCGCAGCGCTTGTAACAACAACGAATGGTGTTTTGTTATTGAAAGCTGGCCTACTGAAGCAAAGATAAATCCTTCCTTCTGGACTTGTTGCAATCGATGCAAATGGCACCGTGAGAGTGTTTTTTGGTTCAAGGTAATGCGTGTGTATGTTGTGCCAGGGAATCCATACCCTTATATTAGTTGTAGTATGTTTTTATTGTTTTTATGCTTTCTGGACTTGCTTCTCTTGAGTTCTACGTTGGCTGGCTACGTTGGCCAAATGTTGGGTTTGAATGTATTTTGTCTCGTGTTTGTGCAGTCATAAACCGTTTTATATATAAATCTACGTATATATATATTTGTATACTCGAATGCTTACTGACATCATAGATGGGTAGTATGACATTTTACTGACATAGATATTTTGCCCAACTACAATCTTAATATTTGGTAAACGAAAAGGCGTGCATGGAGTGAGCTGTCTTTTCACCAGTGCTTGGGAAAGACATTTTCCCACTTATCATATCCAAAACTAATTTTTTTCTGATGTCATACAATGGTTGGCATGTATTTTTTTCATTTACTTTTTCAAAACATCCCTTAACCCTAATAAAAATTAGAAGTTAACAAATTGAAGAAGAGAGAAACTAATTGGCACCTGAAATGGTCTTTTCGCACAACAAAATTACCAAAAAAAAAAATTTAGGGTCAATAAAATTAATAAATATAGAAAGTAAAAAGTAATATAATAATAATTTAGGGTAAAGAACAATATAATAATAATTTAGCGTCACCACGAAACGGGGAATTCAGTAAGAAAGATGAAGCCTCAATGAATTCGTAGCAATTTTCAGAAGTTTTTTTTTATCATTTTTGTGTTTTTAGTTATGAATTTTGTAAGGCAAAACAATAAAATAAGAATTTAGGGTTAAAAGCAAGAATGTGGCCATGTTTACTGATGTACACTTGTGCAAGTGGTGAAAGGTATGCACTGAGATCGCGCCATGTGTCAACTTGCAATTATTTTGGCTTTTTTAGTGCAAAAAACTTGAACAAATTGTAATAAATAGTCGGAGAATCGTAAAAATGCCCCGAAAATTATTCCGGCCTCCTTGTGACGTTATAAAACTAGGGGAACCTATAAATCATCCGTTTCGCAATGAAAAAATCCAAATTGTTTTAGAGAACTCACTTTCCTCTTAACCCTAAGTATATATGTTTGTTCACTTTAACAAGTATATTTCCTTAATATTCGTTATATAATTTGTAATAAGACAAGAATTAGTTTCCTTTCATATATAAGGATGTAAAATTATCTGTTTTTGTTTTTTTATAATAATGTACATATATAATAATTGCACACTGCTTTGAAGCCATCATTGCAACTACGCCTAGAGCTTTGAACACGTCAGAGGTATTCAATAAGTCGTCCATATGCAACTGCGTCTAGAGTTATGAACCGTCACAGGTATTCAATAAGTAGTCCATCGGGAATCAGAACAAAATATCCATCATGTCCAATCACATAAAATAATGCCATACTTTTTTTGAAAAACCTCACACCAGTCAAGCAATTTTAAAATATTAGTGAATATTTGTCCTAGTCTATATCAGTGATTATATATTCACTCTGCATTTTTTTCACAGTATATGTTAACTTTGAGGGATTCAACAAACATATAATATAAAGGAAGAAAACAATAGTAGGAGATGAACCAGTACAAAAAAAACAATAACATAACCTTGTCACAAACGCACTCACAAATGTTTTTCCATAAACCTTGCCCTAACATATAATAAATAAAGGCAACATCGCATATGATGCAACCATGTCCAAATCTGATACGTGATCACACAAAAATGGACATGGCAGCAACATATGACTGAAGTAGATGGCCACGTTGCATTACATGTTCTCGTAATTAAAGACATCAAAATATGAAGGTTGAAATCTTCCATAGTAGTAAGCATCAAAATAGGTTTGAAGCAGAGTTTAACGAAAATTCCAATTCCACTGATTTGCCTTTGCTCAAACACGATAACCAAAATGGTTACTTCCGTTGGTGAGTATATTTGTTAACGTCGGAAAAGGTAATAGATGACCAATCAAACCCGGGTACGACGAGTTTTGCATAGGACCGGAAGTAATCGAATCCAGCTTGCATCACACGCTTCTTTGACTCCACTGCATTAGATGAGTTCTTGTATTTTTGAATAGCTACACTCCGAAGTCGTTTATGTCTACGCTTCATGCGCTGCAACTTCGCCCTATCCAGATTGGCCTGCCTTTTGTCACCTTCAATTTGGCCTTCAAAAAATTCCAAACGTGCCCTTGCCCTTTGAATTTCATCACCAAGTTGAAAATGCCTCTCCTTCCAGAATCCAAGAACCCTTTCAGACTCAAAACTTCCAACAAAATGGTCATTCTGTCTAGGAATGTGACAGTGCTTGTCTGGTGACTCACTTGCGTTTCGAGGGCGGTCTTTGTTTGGAGGGGTGTTTATTATGCTGACATCAAACTTGGTTAGTAAATCCATTCTATGGAGGGAGAGAGTTTCAGTCGATGGAGAGAGATTCGGTGGAGGAGTCAGTTTTTCGTGGAGGGAGAGTTTCTATGAAAGGGGTGATAGTAATACCCAAGGTCTTAAATATCGGAGGTATCGGAAATATCGGAAGTCAAAAAACATGGAAATATTGCAGGAAATATCGGGATATTATCGGTATCGGAAAAAATTGAATAAAAACCACGGAAATTGTAAGAAAAACTTGGAAATTTTTATTGAAACTTTGCAAGATGTTTATTTAGTCAATTATCTATTAGTTTATCACAAAAAATTGGAAGGAAATGCATTGCATGATGGATTTAACTGATTTAAGTTGATTATATAGCAAGCTGGCAAACACCGTAAGTGTAGAAAATATGTAGTAATTAATGAAAGAAGATTAAACACACCATAATCATTTATATATAATGAACTACAATATTTTACACTTTATACATTGCATGGTAAGATACATGAGTGACTTAGTACCACATAGAGTTCCTATGAGGTTCAAAATTTTCACTATCTTCATCATCTCTATATGTAGAGTAAGTATATTTTGAAGAGTAGTCATCAAATGATAAATCCCCAAAATAGTTTTGCATCACTACTACAAAAATGGAAAACTACGACGCCTTTTTAACGACGGTAAAATTAAAAAGCGTCGTGTTTTTAAAAACCATGAAAAACCACGATAGTTCCATCTAAAACCGTCCTGTTTTAAAATAAGCTGGCAAAAATTACGATGGTTACTTATAAAAACCGTCGTGCTTTAAAAGGCGCTCGACAAAAAATTCACTTAAGTTTTCGCTGAAAGGCAACTTTCACCGCACTCTCTCGCAACCTTTAGAAACCCTATCTCTCTCAACTCCCCTTTCTCATCGCTGAAACACTCCATCGCCCCCACGATCTTCACGAGGACACCTCCACAATCATCGAGATCTCCTTCATGAGGTCTCTCTCGAGCCCACAGGTTTCTTCGCCTCCACGATCTCCTTTGCGATCTCCATCGATGCCGCGACGCCATCGACTCGGTGACGCCGTGGATGCC